TCATTTACGAGCATTTTCAGAGGCTTAATAAAAGGGAAGATGTAGAAACCCATGTCGTAACCGTTTACAGGAACCCTGTCAGCCTCTTCATAACAAAAAGCCTGCATAGAGACTTACTGCTTTCAGGGGTTTGAGATCTTCAGGGCCTTCTTGTCTTTGGTCTAGGAGTTGAGCTCAAAATTAAAAGGTCTGCAGGGGCTTTAGGGTCTAGGATCCTTGAGGATAGCTAGACACATTGAAGGTCCTCACGGTTTCAGTGCTCCGGGCTTACCGCTTAGGCTTAGGTGAGGGCGTCTGGGACCAACGTATGCTGACAGTGCTTGTGGTTTAGGGTTTATAGGATTTATAGGGCTGATAGGGTTCATAGTTTAAGGGTTAAGGGTTTAGGGTTTAGGGGATTTATAGGATTTATAGGGTTTAAGGTTTAGGGTTCAAGGGTTTAGGGTTTGGGGCTTAGGGCTTATAGGGTGTAGGGTTTATAGGGTTCAGGGTCGAAACCATTTTGGGCTTCGCCCCAACCTGAACCTGTCACCACGGCTCTGCTGTTTCTTTACCAAAACTCCGCATGCCTACTTCCCTAGTCGTCGTTGTCAACTCATCATCCCGCACCTAAACCCCAAGCCTCCAACCCTAAACTCCTAAACCCCCAAACCCCAAACCCTAAACCCCAAACCCTCAACTCTAAACCAATAGCAGAATCTCAAGAGCTTTGTTCAGTCCGATGCCTCTCAACAGCCTGTACTAATCCCGAACGCGAAATTGCATATTATAGGGGCCCTAATCATTGGTTCCTGCAAGGGTTCCTTTTAAAGGGGGTCTATTTGGATTGCTGTAAGGAGTACAACTACAATTACCTATACTATTTTGGAGGCTCCTTAATTTTAACTATGGTATCCTGGGCCCCAAAATCTTATTCTAATTCTTAAGGCTCCTATATTATCGTAACCTGAACACTGGTTCCTAAACCCGGCGCTCGAAAAGAAGTCCGATATTCGGAACGCCAAGATCCAGCGTGTGCAGGTTTATTGTGACATGATGTCCAAACTCAACTTAAGCCCCAAGTGCCTTCCATAGCTCTTCGTGCTCAGGTGGCACAACAACCTGCAGCTTCCGTCGCCGCAGCATGGGCCTTTGCTTTCCCGGCTGGGTCAAGCATTAGTAGGTTTGTTCAGGATCATGGTTCTTCGGTAGGAGACGCTGATGCAACATAGGAGCCTTGAAAACTAGAATAGTGGGGATATGTTGTACTGTACCCACAATAAGGAACCCTAAACAATACTGACCCCAATCATTTAGGTCTCTGTATTCGGCCCCAAATGTAGGATCCTTGATACAGGACTCCCCAAAACGGGACTCCCGCAATTTTCAGAACCCCCTGTGGGAGTTTAGCGCTTAGAGATGTATAGAGTCTGTGACACGCATTAGTGTCGCCTTCTCCCACATAGAGACTCCGGCAACAGCATAGGGTACCTGAGTTCCATGGTATGGGGTTTAGGGGTTCGGCTTTGTCCGGACACTAAAACCAAATAACTAACCCTGCAAGCCCGAAGCCACAAGATACACAAGAGCTAGACCCTATCAAAGCCCTATGAGCCCGTCTGAAGCCCAACAAAAAGTGCTTTGGATTTCTGTAACACCCCGAAGCCTGGCCGCTGAACCCCTAAACCCTATACCCGACAGTAATCCCCATAAAGTTGGAAACCGGATTGAGGCCAAATAGTAATGGGATTCCCTATGCATTACTCTTAAGGATCGAGGCTACGGGGTTTCCATCTTTTTGGCTTCTACTGTAGGTTTTTAGGCCCCTTCATCCCCTTCATCCTAGGTATCAGTATAGTAGGAACCATAAGGAATATTGTTGGGAATTATTTAGGCTCCTACATTACGGGGCCTCCCTGATCCCAGTTACATTTCATCTCCCTCGGCAGCATGGACTCCCAGCGTGCGCGGCATGCTGCGGCCGAGGCACATACCCAGAGACCCCAATATCCCTTAATGGAATATTCCTTAAATCAGATTAGGGATCCTACTATAATTCAAGGTATTTTCCTCAATCAAGGGATAGTGGAGTCTTGGTTCCTTAGTAGAATTATAGGAAAATGGGCCCCAAAACCCTGTTCTATTTCGTAAGGCCCCTATATTACATGCCGCATTCAGTTTGGTTTTGGCATTGTACGGGTCCCTCGATCAAGACCCTCAACCGAGGCATGGAGTGTCTGTCAGTTCACAGACTACTTGAAGGCTCATGGGACTTAGTAAGTAAGGTTATAAGTAGGTTATAATAGGGATAACCCCACTTAGGGGACTTACAACCCCACTTATAGCCTACTTACTAAGTCCCATGAGCCTTTAAGTAGCCACAAGGGCCTTGGAGGCCCCAGAAGAGTTTGGTATACATGTGAGTGGTTGTCAAAATTATGGTCCCTTGTTGAGTACCTCATATAATACGGAACCTATGATTTAGGGTACCCCCAAAAGGGACCCCTGTTTTGACAACTAGCCATGTTTCTGTGGCGAGGATTATGAATAAGAAGATTCAGGGCTTCGGGCGAGCCGCGGGCTGTTCATGGACGGAGTTTCGAAACCCGGACGCCGGTATTGTTGTCAAGTATTCCTAAACCCTAAACCCCAAACCCAATCCTGGGTCTGAGCAGCGCTTATACGCAACATAAACATAAACACTGCTTTTCAGTGGCAAGGACGGAAGCAGGGCGTGTTCCGAGCGACGATTTCATCATCGCCTTTTCGAGTAGAACAAAGAAATCCTGGTTTCAGGTGCTTCTTGGGCGGTGTTCCGGGGGTTTAGGGTTTAGGGGGGCCATGTCTGGGTCAACCCCACAAATCGCTGTAGCGATTCTCCCGCCAAGCCTAAACCCTGCCCGAACCCCACGTAACCTACCATTTTAAGGACTTATATAAAGAAATCATATGAGGGAACCCTAAAAAGGTAGGTTCCTTAGGGTCCAGGTGGACCCTAAAAGCCCAAACCCTCAACAAGGCTTCCGCAGCATGTTTCACCAAGACAGCCCCGTCCTGCATCGCCTCGCTCCCTTCGCAACGCCCATGTCGGCCTTCCAGAGCCAGACCTGCTTCTGGGTGCACCAGGTTATGGAGTTTCAGGTTCTTTGTAAGGTCCTATATGGATGGTTCTCAAAATTACGGTCCTTTTTGGGTCCTTATTATCATACGGCACCTAATATTTAGGGTACCCAAAAAGGGACCATAATTTGAAACGCTGCGCGTCGTCCGCCTCGGCACGGCTGCACGCGCATGCGGCGAGTGGCTACTATCTGCAGCAAGCTCTTGTAGGAAAAAAGTAACAGTTGGAATCGCACTTATAGTAAAAGTAATGTTCATAGCAACACGAAGCAGGATGATTGTGAGTAGTATTAGTAGTGGTAGTATCAGTACGAATTTTGGTGTCGTCATTCCGAAACACTGGATACCAAGACTCTCGCAAGCGGCGGGATGCCTTAAGTATGGGCCGTTGAGGCTGTGGATTTCGTGGGCGTCTTGGATTAGGGAAGCATCACAGCTTTTCAACCACGTTACTCCGCCTATCCCAACGAAAGGGCGTCTAAAACAAGCCTGAGACGCACATAAAGATGCTACATTGCAGTCCCGTGTCGTCGAAAACTCCAGAAAGCTCGCACCTGTCAGCGAGCGGAGGAGGGGCTTTCTGCTACAGAAAGCCAAAATCTACTGGAGAAAGCGAAAATTCACCGCCGGACCTTGGGGCTCATCGACACGTTTCCATTTTTTTTTTTGGGGGGGGGGGGCGGTGGCCAGGATTTTGGGGGGGGGGTCACTGGGGAGGGGATTAAGAGGTGGGGAATAGGAGAATCCGAATAGGAACCTCTGACCGCTTCGGCCGGGGCCGAGGCGAATTTTGACAACCACCCATATAAGCTTTTATAAGGCCATGTTAATGGTTTCGCGAGAACCTGTTCAACCTGTTCACCCTTTCGTTGGGGCTTCTGCTTAAAACATCACAATCGGAACATCCCCCAGAATCCCAACCCTAAAACCTACACCCCAAACCCCACAACCCACACATCCTAAGCGCTGAAGATACCCATGTTGACGGGGGGCACTGAGCTGCCAAGCTCTGTTTAACCCTGTAAAAGCCTCATAGAATTTGGAGCGCCACACAGAGCCCGAACAAATTTCTATGCAAAACACCTACGACTCTGTATTTAATAAAGCGATATAAAGGCTTTTAAAACCTTTTCAAGCCTTCCTAAACCAAAAGCCCTAAAAAAAAAAACCTAAACCCTAAAACCTACACCCGAAACCCTAAAACTTAAACCCCAAACCCTAAACTCTAAACCCCTAAGAGGGATAACCGGAGAACCCAGGCTCTCGGTGCAACTGTCAGGGCCACCAGGCTGCTCAATGCCCAAAGATGCCGCATCCGGGGTGGTCCTTAGCAGCGACTTTTCCTATTTTTTTTCCAGGAGACTCCAACACTGCTTAATTCAGGAATATACGTTAAACTATAGTAGGATCCCTCATATGGACTTACGCCATACTCCTTATTTAAGGGACATTGGAGTCTCTGGGTTCTAGTATGAAAAAGTCCAAAGGGCCTGAAGGGTGTTTTTTCTAGGTAGTTTCAGGGCTTTGGGTTCAGGGTATAGGGTTAAGGGTTTAGTGCCTGGGTTGAGGGTTCAGGTTTTAGGGTTTAGAATTATTTGTAGTAAAGCTAGGCGGATTCTTGAAGAGTTGTAGGATTGTAGGATACTAGTATGGGAGTTTCCGAAAATGAGGGGTTCCTTGGAGGGGGTCCTGATAATAAGGATCCTACAATTAAGGGTATTATATCAGGGTCCCCTATTTTCGGAAACTCCCTCCCATACCATTTTTTGGACAGCAAACCCTAAACCCTAAACCCTGGCAGCTCTGGGTGCGCACAGTTTGGATGAGATGGGCATGCCTCAGCCCCTGTAAGATGAATTTTTCCAGAACCGAGGTTCTACAAAACTTGCGAGTACTGCAAGATGGTCGGGCATGGAGTAAAGGCCTGCCCTGTTCTGCAACGCAAGGCCCAGGAGAAAATCTGCAAGCAGAAGGAGCATGCCGAGAAGAAGGCGACCAGCGACACTTGGAGCGAGTCTGGAACAAGTACCGCGGCCTCGTCGTGGAATTCGTGGAGATCCGAGAGGAATTGGTGGCAGCCGCGTGGGGGGAAGAAGGGCAAGTCGAGGACGGCATGGTGACTTTGCCATAGCTGGGTAACAATTTTATATTTTAATGGGTACTTAAACCCACTCAGGAATACAACTGTAAAATTTACCCCTAATTATTAGTATTAGTAGTACTATTACTATTAGTATTAATATTAATATTAGTATTAGTACTCGTATTACTACTAGTATATCCCAACCATGGACCAGGTCAGAGTGGCATCCGGAGCATTGGGTGCTGAGTGAGGACGAAGAGCGAGAGGCTGCCACAGTCTAGATTTTGCCTGCTGATAACGACCCATGAATATTAGGTGCCGCAGAAAGTTGGAACATGGCTTTAGGAGGATTAGTGCTAGGATCCCTTATACTTTACTTTAAGGGCATGAGGCTAATGATGTTCCAACTTTCTGGCTTCTACTATATTAGGTGCCGCATTATGATAAGGACCCAAAAAGGAACCCTAATATAGTACCCGAAATAGTAGGATCCTTATTGTAAGGGCCCCAAAATTAATCTACCCCTACTGTTGATGATATAAATCCTGCATGACCTTTGTACCCTAAACCATGGGAACTATGGTATATTCCTTATAAAGGGTAATGCAGGATGTTGTCCATCAGCAGTAACGACCCACTTATTCAAGGAGAATTCCTTGAACCATATTAGGGATCTCACTATAGTTTAAGGTACATTCCTTAATTTTGGGGTTTTGGAGGCTCTGGGGATGTGGATGATCTGTGATGAGGAGGATGATGATGATTATGACTATGAGGTTCAGGGTTTAAGGTGAGTAGGAGGCGGGGTGGGGCGACCGGGAGGACTACTAATTACTAGATCAGATGCTTCGACATTAGGCTTGTTCCCCACATGAACCCTGAATCCAGCGCCTTGATAAAGTGGAACCCTTCAGCTCAACATGCCGGGCCTCCCGCAAGCAACCTTGACCCTAGCCTCATACTTCATTTCCGCATAAGCCTGGAAAAGACTTAAAATCTAAACCCCTGCCCCACAAACTTCAACCGTTTCTTACAACGCTAAACCCCTAAGCCCCTAAACCCTAAACAAACAAAACCCCCCAACCCTAAACCCTAAAACCCTAAACCCTATAGATCCCTTTAAAGGGACCCTAGGTATTCCTTAAGGAGTCTCTGGGAAACCCTTGAGCCCTAAACCGAAGGCTCGCAAGCTAGAGAAGAAGCTTCGGGAGATCGCCGCCCTGGCGCCTCGGCATATGGAAGTTTCCGAAACTACGGTTGATGATATAAATCCTGTATTACCCATAATAAGGAATATACCATAATTCCCATAGTTTAGGGTCCTTAAGGTAGGTAATGCAGGATTTATATCATCAACAGTAGGGGTAGATTAATTTTGGGGCCCTTACAATAAGGATCCTACTATTTCGGGTACTATATTAGGGTCCCTTTTTGGGTCCTGATTATAATGCGGCAGGAAACCCCAAAAGGGACCCTATTTTTGACAACTACATATATGTTGAAGTGCGATTCCCAGAGACTCCTTTAAGGAATACCTAGGGTTCCTTTAACGGATCTATAAGGGATTTATAGGGTTTAGGTTTTAGGGTTTGTGCTTACTAATATGATTTAAGGAATATTCCTTAGTTAAGGGATATTGAGGTCTCTGGGTTAGTCGTCGAGCAGGTATCTTTTAACCTTTGGGGGGGCAGTGGCATCCCTATACAATCCCGAAAGGTTAACCTTTAGTTCCTCTAGGATACCGGACAAGTAGGTTCTAATTGTGGAGATACGGTTGATGGCATAAATCCTGCATTACCCATAATAAGGAAATTTACTATAATTCCCATAGTTGAGGGTTCATTCAGGTAATGCAGGATTTATATCATTACCCTAAACCCTAAACCCTAAAACCCTATAGATCCCTTACAGGAACCCTTACAGATACCCTTACGGACTCCTTTAAAGGAGCCCCAACCGTATGTCCGGGCCTTCCAGTCTCCCTTGAAGCAGGAAGCCTTCTGGAAACGCTCAAAAACAACGGGTACCTACGCGGTTTCGTAACATGGGAGTTTCCGAAAATTAGGGGTACCTTTAAAAGGTTACTATAAGGGTACTAAGTACTATACGGGCTCCTTCAAAGGGCTCTATAAGTTTTTTTGGAGTTTCCGAAAACTTAGGGGGTACCTTATTTTGGGGTCCTTATAATAAGGATCCTACTGTCTAGGGGTGTCATATTAGGGTCCCCCCATTTTGGGAAACTCCCAAATCTGAACTTGAATCAGGCCTTGTAGGGACCCTTGCAACCCTTACCTTAAGCCCAAACAATAAGCCCTAAACTAAAGGAACCCTTAGTGACCAAAGCCCTACTTCTAGCCACAGTAGCCAATTTTCTGGTAGGTTTAGGGTTTAGGGTTTAGGGTTTAAGTCCATCTGCCCTGTTTACCGTTTATAGCCGGCCTTGGACCCACTGAACCCCGGAACCCAAAAGCCGATTCTAAGAGTGCCTCCGTGAAGAGCCCCCCTACACCCTAAAACCCTCAACCTTAATCCTTAAACCATTAAACCCTAAACCATTGAACCCTTTACCCCAAAACCCTGAACCCCTAAACCCCAAAACCCCTAAACCCGAGACCCTTAAACCCTAAACCATTAAACCCTTAAGCCCTAAACCCTTCAATTCTTCAACCCTAAACTCTAAACCTTTAAACCTAAACCCTGAACCATTAAACCCCTAAACCCTTGAGCCCTAAACCCCTAAATCAACCCTAAACTCTAAACCCAGGAGCAGCTGGTGGAGCAGGGGCAGGGCTTGGATTCACTTCAGCTGCAAAAGGTGGCGCGGCGCTGAAGGGCTTAAAGGGGTGTAGGATTTTGGGATTTAAGGCGTAGGGAAAAGGGAAGTCGATATTTGATGGATATCTTCGATAAACTTAGGGTTTCGGGGCTTGGGGGCTTGGCGATGGAAGTTTACAAGAATACTTCAAGGAGCAACGCACTTAGTCAGCAGGCTATAGCTGGGCCTATTAGAAGCAGCACCCAGAGCGGGATCATCATTGCTGGAAAGCCCATTTGCTGGATTCAAGAAGCCTTAAAGACAGGGTTCTTACCGGCACTCAAAGTGATCCTTTTATGGAGGAGGATATATATATATATATGTGTATATATATGTGTATATATATATATACACATACGGCAAGTGGGACTAGACCTAACCTGCCAAAACGCACTTTCTTGTAGGGTCTCTATAGCTCTTACATGAGGCTTCACAACAAGACTCTACACGAAAGCAGGTTATAGTAGCCTTAGAAGCTGCCCCCACCCTGTAATAGTGGTATAATTGGAATATAATAGGAATATATTAGGGCCCGAATATAATCCTTATAGTCACTATTACAGGGTGGGGGCAGCTTCTAATAGTAGCCTAAGGTAGGGTTGAGAAGAGGGGAGCGAAACCGACAATGGTGGTCTTGTGGGGGTTTCTTTGGCCTCTGTAAGGGCATCAGGTTACGGGAGGGAGAGCTCCAGCTTCCCTTAACAGGTTTAGGGTTTGGGGTTTAGAGTTTAGGGATGGATATCAATGGATCCCTCTTACAGAAACCCAGCACTGTGTCATTTCTTTCCCTGACCTCCAGGTGGATCGGAAGAGTGAGATCGAGGCTCATGAGGTCTTGCGCAAAGTGCGCCTAGGTTACCACCGGATCAACCTGCCGGCTGCTTCATAGCTCCCTTGCGCACGTTGGTGGGCGCAGCGGAGGGGAATGTACAGTGTACAGCTTACCACCACAGTTTTGCTTAATGCGCCATCATTAATTACAGTACAGTGCTGCCTGCGATAGTCTGAAGAGTTGCCTTGTGCGTGACTCTGTGAGCTGGCGGCGGCAAAGTGATGTCATCGCATCTGACACTGTGATTTCCATTGCTATAGACACAGAGAAGCCATGTTCAGAATCATGAACTGTGTTTGGGGTTGCCTCCATGGCAACATGTATACGAAATTTGTCAACAAATAGTACTTCTCTGAATGCTACCTCAAGCCCAAAACCCCAACGCCTAAACCTCTAAGCTAGGCTTGGTTGAGCAGAGCCTAAGCCTTAGCCCCATAAACTCTATACCGAAACCGTAGGGCATCGGGCCGGGATGTGCGCCGTGTGATGAGCAGCCCAGAGAGCCCAATAAACCTAATTAAGCTTCAATCATAATATGAAGCCTCCATTTCCTGAACTCCCTTATAGAACCCTTTTAGATCCCTCTATTCCTGAATTAAGAGGCTCTGAGCGAGATTTGGCACTGTGGCGGGCGAATGCAGTACATCGCCAGCAACGAGCGCGAGGCACGCAAGGGAGCCTGCACAGAAGGTTCAAGGTTGAGGGGTTGGTTTAGGGGTTTATGGATTTAAGGGTTAAGGGTCTAGGGTTTAGGGAGAATTGGAATATGCCTGCGGACGACATGAACCCTAAAAGGGTTCACGGGGATTCGTAGTATATGGGTATAAGGCCCCTATTTTTTTAAGGTACAGATTACATATACCATATGGGTATTCTTAGTATATGGGTATCAGGTTTAAGGGTCATTGGGCGCAGGCAAAGAACAACTCTTTCGAAATGTCCCGAGGATGGTCCATATACTACCACTACGGTTGATGACATAAATCCTGCATTACCCGTAATAAGGAATACACCATAATTCCAATAGTGTAGGGTCCTTAAAGTAACGCAGGATTTATATCATCAACCGTATCACAGCCATCACCACTTCTTCTGCTAGTGCGTGCTGATGGGGGCCGACAATTGTACACCGCTTGCGCTACCTTAAACCCTCAACCCTGTGTCCTTCCAGCTAGGAGCTAACCTGCTCGGCCCATCATAAGGCCTTAAATCAGCCGACCTGACAGCTTGAAAAGGAGCCGCTATGTCAAAAGAAACGCGAAGCCCTAAACCATACACCATGCACATCTCTCTACACTAAACCCCAAGCCCCAGACCCTGAACCCCATAAAGCCTACCATTTTTCACAGAGAACCCAATACCCTTTAGCTAAACAATATGGGAGTTTCCGAAGATAGGGGACCCTAATATAGCACCCTAAATAGTAGGATCCTTATTGTAAGGACCCCAAAATGAAGTACCCCCTAAGTTTTCGGAAACTCCCAAACCCTTCTAGAGCCCTTTAAAGGAACCCGTATAGTACTCAGTACCCTTATAGTAACCTTTTAAAGGTACCCCTGATTTTCAGAAACTCCCATATTTTTATTTTTAAAGGTAGATTCCTCAACTAAGGGGCAGGCGCTCCCTGGATTCTCTTCTGCTTCAGGCCCTAGACCCTAAACCCTATAAAGCCCTAGTCAAACCCTATAAAACCTTAGAAAGCCCTCGAAAGCCCGAAACCCGATAAAACCCTAAACCCTGTAAAACGTTAAACCCTAAACCCGAGAAAACCCTAAACCCTAAACCACATATAAAACCCTAAACCTTCTGCCTTCTCTTCTGCGTCAAGCGGGAGGCTGGTTGTGTGGAGCTGCTGGTCACGCGCTGGCGATCGCCAGGGCAGCTCCTGCGATACCTCCGCACACAGGCCTCCTGGGTTCCTTTCAGGGTTCCTATATGTGGGTACTATAAGGGTTCCGAAACAGCCACTTTAAGGGTTCCTATATATATATATATATATATATATATACATACACACATATATGGGTACTATTAGGGCTCCTAAACAGCTACTTCAGGGTAGTACTATAAGGGTTCCTTTCTGGGTACTAGAAGGGTTCCTATGAGGGTACTATAAGGGTTCCTTCAAGGGTTTGGGTGTTTTGGGGCTTACGGTAAGGGTTCCTTTAAGGGATTTAGGATTTAAGGCTCCTTTAAAGGAGCCTTATTATTATAGCCTTATAGTACCTCGAAAGGAACCCTACTATAGAACCGTATGCTTAGTTAATTGTTCCTGTATGGGTACTAAAAGGGTTCCTGTGAGGGTACTGTAAGGGTTCCTGTCAGGCAATGAGGGTTTAGGGCTTATGTCTTAGGGACATAGGATGTAGGGGTTTTGGTTGGGGTTGAATCAGGCTGCCTGGGGAGTTCGGGGTTTAGGGGTGCAAGGGTTTTAGGGACTTTCTCGGGTTTAGGGTTGAGGTGTTCAGCTGTAGTTTTCGACGGGTGTTTGCAGCTGTTTCAAGTTCTACGGAACTCGAATGGTTTATGACGGATCCTAAGATTTCCATCGGGCTTCAGGTGTGATAAACCCACCCTGTAGCCTCAACCCTAAAACCATGAATCGGATCCTCAACCCTCCCTGACCCTACAAATTCCTACAACCCTAAACCCTAAACCCCAAACCAAACCTACACCCTGAACCCTGAACCCTAGACCGCGAATCAAACCTACACCCTGAACCCTAAACCCTAAACCATAAACCCTAAACCCCAAACCAAGCCAACAGAAGGCGCAGGCCTTGGATGCAGATGCGGGTGAGGCTCCGTCTCCTTTTCCTAGGGCTTCTAAGATATGCCCTACCTAGGTTCCTGAGTGGTATCCTTTCTAAAAGGGTCCCTTAAGGGCTCTATAATATAAGGCATCCGTAGAGGCTTCTAAGTATAAGGGATCTATAGGGGATCAGGGTCTACTATAGGTTCCTGAGTTGTACCTTTTGCCCTTTTTGTTCTAGGGTCCTCTTATAACAAACCCAAATAGTAAGAAACCAAGGGTACCCTTTTTAGAAAGGGGCTACTTAATTCATCCGACGGTTTAGTTCATCAGGGTTCTCACGGGTCTAAAGCGGCTTGCTAAGCGTTTGGAGGACCTTCGTCGAAGTTTCGTCGGAGTAGTAGCTGATGATTTTTTTGCGGGCCTATTGAACATTGCATGGCCTTGTGGAGGCAGTGAGGGGCCGGTCTCTTTGTTGGAAAAGACTCTGCTTCAGGGACATTATTTAGGTACGGCCCCCTTACAGTAAGAGTCTATAATAGGGCTACTATCAAGGTCCTAATATATCTATATAAGGAATATGATTCAACTATTTTTGAGTGGGGGCCGTACGCAAGATATTATTGGAGTCTTCTGAGTGAAGGAACCGGAACATGGTCCCGGCTCAGTAGTTAGGAGTTGTGGCTCTGAGAAGGGGGTGTCGTTTGGGTACGGCCCCCACTCAGTAATAGTTGAATAATATTCATATTACAGATATATTAGGACCTTAATAGTAGCCCTATTACAGACTCTTACTGTATGGGGGCAGTACCTAAGGTGTCGTATTCTGAATCTTCAAGGGGTCCCTTTGGGATCCATGTGGGTAAGAAGAAACGGTCCTATATCCCAAACCCTTGCCCTAAACACTATACTACTTGGAGGGGCAGGGGACTTAGTAAGTAGGTTATAAGTAGGGTTATAATTGGGGTAACTCCATTTAAGGTACTTATAACTCTACTTATAACCTACTTACTAAGTCCCCTGCCCCTCCAAGTAGACCTATGCCTTAAAGCCGAAACCCAGCGTGGGCTGCCATGTTGGTGCTGAAGGATTTCGGTGGCAGAGTCGGGTGGAAAAGGGGGGATTGGGGCCGGGGTTTGTACGGCGTAGGTAGACTTATAATAGGGATTAGGGCCTACGGTTTAAGATAGGTTTGAAGCTCAGGTTGACTGGTACGGTTTGGCATGTGGACTTAATATAAGGGCCTAAAATAATTACCAAAGTCATTCCTCAGGGGCCCTTAATATATTTATAGTACAATACACCCCAAACCCCTATTCTAGTCATTAAGGCCCCTATATTATGCAGAACTCAGGATTCGATCATATAGGGGCGTAGAGCACGTGTGCACTTCGTGCGGATGTTGCTCTGGAATATCTGGTCTTCATTCTACTTAAAGCCTCATGGGACTTAGTAAGTAACGTTATAAGTAGGTTATAATTAGGATAGCCAGACGTGGGGGACTTATAACCCCACTTATAACCTACTTACTAAGTCCCATGATCCTCTAAGTACCTTGAACTCTAAACTCCAATCTTCTCAGAAGGCCAACGTTTCTTTGAACTCACCTCCGGATGTCTTTCAGTGTTAAGGGATTTACAAGTCCCCCCTTCTCTCGACATAAGGGTAAGAAAAGGGTAGTTTAAGAAGGAGACAATCCTTACATGAACCGGCTCACAAAATCCATCAAGAACAAAGCCAAGGCTTGATAAATTAAGGCTCCTACACAATGGTTCCTTCTGAATGAGCCCTAAACCCTAAACCTTAAACCCCATCCCACACTGAAAGCCTCACTTCGAAGGACGATCTGGCCAGCATTGCCATTGAGCACATCCTGATTTGCCCACAGCCGTTCTAGCTTCATCCAAAAAGCGCATGCATCGAGTTGTGGGTATCCTTAAGACCCCTTGCCCTGAACCCTACATCCTAACCCTAAACCCCGGTTGGTTATTCAGCATCCTGACCTCCAAGTACTCGGGCTTGGGTCTCGGATGTTGCTCCCTCCACCATGCCACTGACTAGAGCAATCGGCCAGTTTGGGGCATCTCATCTGCCCAGAGAGCCCAATACCCCTTAAGTAAGGAATATAGCTTAAACCATAAATAATATAAAGCCCCTTATAGTTTAAGGCATATTCCTTAATTAAGGGGTATTGGGCTCTCTGGGTGGGTTTAGGGCTTCGGTTCCATGATGTTCCATGCTACCGACCAGAACAATCGACCAGTAGTCATCACTTTCAGCAACAGTGCATGGGAGTCATACCGTAA